GGGGCCTAAGGATTTGGGCCGTCTTCTACTGCTTTCCCAGGTCATCTCAGAGAGCTGAATTGGAAGTGGAGCAGCCTAGATATGAACCAGCGCCCATATGGGATGTCGGCATTGTAGGTGGCGGCTTTACCCTTAGGCCACAGCGCTAGCCCCTAAAAAAATAAAACCTTTATTCCAAAAAGTATGTGATTCTTTAAAAAAACAAAACAAATTGGGGCTGGCACTGTGGCAAAGCGGGTAAAACCACTACCTGCAGTGCCAGTATCCCATATGGCCACCGGTTCGAGTCCCAGCTGCTCCACTTCCGACTTAACTTCTCTGCTACAGCCTGAGAAAGCAGAAGATGGTCCAAAAAAACAAACTGATCACTTTTGCCTTGCTAGATAGCCTTTCTCTACACATGAGTTATACAGGAATTTACTAATGTTTTCTTAAGTTATTTGTATGGCTTCATTTTTGACACTTGGATGTCTGATCCATTCGAAGTTAATCAAGTTAATTCACATGTATGGTATAAGGTATAGGCATCATTTTAACTTTTTCCAGATAGCTATTTAATTATCCTAGTGCCATTAATCTAAAAATCCATCTTTGAATCTTCTGCCTCTGGCCATGCAGGAATAACTAAATAAGCAGCCTCGCCTTCCCCTGCCCACCAACAACTAGAAAACAGGACAAATACATGGAGGAACTATTCTCAGACACGGGACAACAGACTGTGCAGGCCTATGATACCTAAGTGGAGGAAACAAAACAAGGTGAGTCCTAAGTTCACAAACAGCTTTCTATCAAGGCATTTACAAACCACAGGAAACCTGCAGGGAAAGAGAACTCAAGAAAGGAACAGTGATCTCACTGAGCTGAAGCAGCAGACGTTACGGTTAAGGCAGGTGTGGGGGTAGCGATACACAGCGAAAGAAACTGGGGACAGTACTGTAGCACAGAGGATTAAGCTGCCTCCTGTAACACTAGCATCTCATATGAGCGCCGGTTTGAATCTCAGCTGCTCTACTTCCAGTTACAGTTCATGATAAGGCACCCTGGAAAGCAGTGGATGATGGCCAAGTGCTTGGGCTCCTGCCACCCATGTGGGAGACATGAATAAATTTCCAGGCTCCTGGCTTCAGCCTGGCTCAGCCCCAGTCAGACATTTCGGGAGTAAACCAGCATATGGAAGATCTGTCTCTCCCTCTCTCTCTAACTCTGCCTTCCAACTAAATAAATCCTTAAAAAAAAAAAAAAAAAGGGCACAAAAAATTATTTTGGGGTTGCCTTGAGTCATTGACCACACTAGCATTCATCCACATAGGTTCTGGATCAAACTTCACAAAGCCCATGTTACTCACAAGAACAACTTTAGTAACTATCAGCTGACAAACACAGAGAGCTCACAAAGGCTGGAGGTGAAAAGAGTTCTTCCAAGACATAGTAGAGATCTCACTCAAGTCACTAAGTAGAGAATCCAGAAGAATCACACTTTAGTAGTTGGGCTACTAAAGTGTAGTTGGGCTACTAACTCTAAAAAGTCTTATTAAAAAGTGAGAGTAATCAAGACAAGAGTGGTACTGTTAAGAACAAACATACAAATTTGATGGAACAGAACTGAGGTAAGATGGTGGGGAAAGTATAGTCTCTTAAACAAATGGTGTTGAAGCAACTGTCTACCCACAAAGAACACAAATCTCAACTCACACCTCACACATTTACAAAAATTAATTTGAAATCAACCACAGACCTAAATATAAAAGCTAAAACATCTGACTCTAGTAGAAAACACTGACCAAGCTATACACAAAAGATCCTTGGAAAAAGAAAGACAAACCAAAAAGGAAAAATAAAAGGACCTCACAAAACTTATAAGCTGCTCTTTGAAAATGACAAAAAATGGCACAGACCAAGAGAAAATACTCACAACATAGTTATCAGACACAGATGTATACACCAAACAATAAAAATAGTTCTAATAACTCAATCATAAGACAAACAACCCCATTTGTAAATGTACACTAAAGATTATATATGTACAGCCTGTAAGCACATAAAAAGATGTCCAAAATCATTAGCAACCGGGGGAATATAATTTAAAACCAAAAATGAATCACTATTATGAGTATGTACCCATAGAATGAATAACGTTTAAAAGATTTATGATAGCAAGTACTATTGAGGGTGGAGAGAGGGTAGGAAAGCACAATAATACTGAATGGAAACCAGTTTGGCAGTTTCTTAGGAAATTAAACATCTACTTACCCCATGACCTAAGCATTTCATTCCTAGAGAAATAAAAAGATGTCCACACAAATACTTGTACATAAATATCCTTAGCAGCTTTATTCAAAATAGCACAACTACAAAGAACCTTAATGTCCACCAACAACAGCCAAAGAAATGGTGCTATATCCACACAATGGTATTCTTCTCAGAAATAAAAATGAATAACATGTATGGACCTCAAAAAATATGTACAGCAAAATACAAGAATATACAATGTAGAGTTCACGTACAACAAACTCTAGAACAGCAAAACTTATCTGTATTAACAAAAAGTATTTCAGTGGTCACCAAGGCTAAGAAGTAAGGGTTAGGGACACAAAGAACTTTTTGAAGAGAAATGTTTTAAATCTCAGACGTGATGGTAAGCGTTTACAACTGTCAAAAACTCACCAAAAGACACACTTAATATAAATACATTTTATTAAATTTAAGTATACTTCAATAACATTAAATTTTTTAGAAGTCTATCTTTAGTTCCAGTGATTTGAGAGGTCTCTTTATTATAAGAAAAGCTTCGAAAGGGAAAAAACACATAATGCGTCATAGATTCCAATTAAGGCAATATACAAATACGTACAAGTGACAAACTTTACTTCAAAGCAAAAATTGAGAAATGCTTACCTTTCACTTAATTTAATAGGAAATAAATATGAAAATATCCTTATTTATGTCTAGCATTATGAAAAACAAAATACACTTTAAAGGATTATATTGGCAAAATCCTCAATGGCAAGACTGAAATATGATTCTACAAAATTTCTTTCTCTCCATTGTGTCTTTCTGTCAGATCCTCACTCCTTTTCTGTCTGTACCTATAACTGACCACATACAGAACTGAAAAATTTTGCATTGTCAGTACAATTAATCAGCTGCCACTCTTTGAAAAGTAAACATTTTACTTAAAAAAAATTAAGTTGTGTTTTACTAACACAGTCTGGCTCATTTTTCAGTTCAGTCAGTCAGTAGGAGGCATGTAACAACAGTTCCCAATTCTTTTTTCTTTTTTATTAAGATTTATTTTTTTTATTTGTAAGCCAGAGTTACAGAGAAGGAGAGGCAAAAGCAGAGGTAAAGAGACAGATCTTCTATCCCCTGGTTCACTCCCCAAATGGCCACAACAGCATGGCTGCACCAGGCTGAAGCCAGGAGCCAGGAGCTTTATCCAGGTCTCCCACACAGGTGCAGCAGCCAAAAGACTTGGGTTGTCTTCCTGTACTTTCCCAAGCACACAAGCAGGGAGCTGGATCAGAAGCAAAGCAGCCAGGACCCAATCCAGATCCCACAGGGATGCCAGCACTAGAGGTCCTGGCTTTTCCTGATATACCACAGTGCCAGGCCTCCCCAATTCTTAATCTAAATGTACAGTAAAGTAATTTGTTTGAAGTATATGAGGGAACTTCAGAAAATTTGTGGAAAATGGAACTAAGAGGTAAGTTTATTTTGGTGCAAAGAAAATTTGAAATCCACACATAAATTTCATAAGCTGTGTATTTTCCAAGAATATTTTGAAGACATATCACATAAATGGATTTTACATTTTTACACCAAAATAAATTCAGCTTTTAATTCCATTTTCCATGAACTCCTTACTGTACCCTCATATGTCATTGAAAACCTTCTTGAACCATTAAAAATATATGACTTTACAGGTTGTTTAGTATTATTTACTCCCTTACTGTCTTTAAATTTTACCCATTTAAGTGACACTTATTATAGTTTGATATCTCTACAGTTCATGAGTATCATGAGGAAAATAGTGTACCATGCCATGTTAAAAGACAACAATGCTGCTTACAACAACTTGCCATGCACCAAATATATGGAAAAAAAAAAAAAAGCTAAATATTCAACTTCTATAAAAATATCAGTTTGATTTAATGCATTCCAACTATGGTCTGCTTTTCTATTTTAATCACGGAATTTTATTTCCATTACATTAACAAATAAATCCATCAGATTAGACAAATTGTAAATTAAATCTAGTTAACATTTAATTATATGTTTCAATTACCATTTAACAAAGAATGGTAGCAAGGAACAAATAATCTTAGAATCATTCAGTATGATCAGAAGAGTCATAGCTGAACATAATTGTTCTTAGCACCCTATAATTAGGAAAGGAAACCATCTTATTTTAAGAACATGGATTCCAACAGCTACATACCATTTCTGAAATCCCCTAACTTTGAAACTTGATTTTTTTTTTTTTTTTTTTTTGGACAGGCAGAGTTAGTGAGAGAGAGAGAGACAGAGAGAAAGGTCTTCCTTTCCATTGGTTCACCCCCAAAATGGCTGCTATAGTCGCTACAGCCGGCGCTGCACCAATCCGAAGCCAGGAGCCAGGTGCTTGCTCCTGGTCTCCCACACGGGTGCAGGGCCCAAGCACTTGTGCCAACCTCCACTGCCTTCCCGTGCCACAGCAGAGAACTGGACTGGAAGAGGAGCAACTGGGACAGAATCCGGTGCCCCAACCGGTACTAGAACCTGGGGTGCCGGCACCGCAGGCAGAGGATTAGCCAAGTGAGCCACAGCACTGGCTGAAGCTTGATTTTTAATGATCATAAAAGCTGGCTTCTGAAAAGTCACACACACATCAGTTGCTAACCTTTACTAATCTTAGACCCATTACTAATACATCATCATTCCCTTGCTGGAGAAAACATTTTACATTAGTGTGCTATCCCTAAGTTTCATTTTGCTTTATGGTCATTGTTCTGAACTCTTACATTTTTGTGACATTCCTTAAGCAAGTTAATTAAGATGTTGCATTCCTCAGTGTGCAAGTGTGGAGATAAATCAGGATGCATCTTCAGGAAGGAGATGGATGACAGCCGTGCGACCTGCAAAAAGAAGCAGTGCAACCTGTAAATACAAGAGTGTCCTATATGTGCATATTAATATGACCCAAAAGTATTTTTTAAGATTTATTTATTTATTTGAAAGTCAGAGTTACACAGAGAGAGGAGAGGCAGAGAGAGAGCAGCCTTCTACCCGATGGTTCACTCCCCAATTGGCTGCAATGGCGAGCGGCGTGGATCTGAAGCCAGGAGCCAGGAGCTTCTTCCAGGTCTCTCACGCAGGTGCAGAGGCCCAAGGAGTTGGGCCACCTTCTACTGCTTTCCCAGGCCAGAGCAGAAAGCAGGACTGGAAGTGGAGCAGCCGGGTCTCGAACCGGCGTCCATTGGAACTGCTGGTGCTTCAGGCCAGGGCATTAACCCGCTGCGCCACAGCGCCGGCCCCACCTAAAAGTATTTTTGGTAAGAACCGGCAATGAGCTTTATCAGAAGATAATATTAACCATTAACCGGTTGTGTGACTTCAGTCAAATTATTAACTTGAATCTCAGCTTCTGTATTCAAGGACTAAACATATTCAGCAAATTATCAGTGGTGTTTAGAAAGCTTGCAGTTTCAGAAGTAGAAAAGCAAGCACTCAAGAGAGCCAATCCTGGAAATAAATGCTCAAGCAGAAACAGACTGCCTATTAATAAATCTTCCAAAATTTTCCCACATTCCTGAAACTGAGTACAACTCAGTTGTTTAGATGAAATTTTATTAGATAAAAGAACTGGTTTACTAATTCTTTTAAAATGTATGAGGGAAGTTCAAAAAGTTCATAGAAACATGAAGTTAAAAGTATGAGTTTATTTCAGTGGAAAAAATCTGTTTTCATAATACATGGGAAATGTATGTTATGACAAAGCTCTGCATGGATTTCAAAAAAAAATTTCACATCAAAATAAACTCAAACTTTTTAACTTCATTTATTTGCAAACTTTCTAAAATACTCTCATGTCTCTGACAGTATTGAAGGGCCACTAGTCAGTTTCCCATTTGTATAAATTAGTGCACTTTCTGAAGATCTGGCTGAGAAAACCTAACTAAACAGTGAAGTGAAATAAGAAAATGCAAAAAACTTTCTAAATTTAGCACATACATCCATAAAATGAATTATGACACTGCAAACAGTAGGCTGAAATCCTGAAAATTAAGCTGAATAGACTCATTAACAAAGAAATGAATAGCCAAGATTAAAGGGAAAACATAACTTGAAGGTGTCTTTTATTTATGTAGTGCTGGTCACATTTTTTTTTAACCTACTCTAACTCCAACAAGATCACCGGAAGAACCAATTAACTGTTTTACTCTTTTTTTTAAAAAATAATTTTATTTATTTGAGAGGTATAGCTACAGAGAGAGAGGGAGAGAAAGACAGAAAGGGATTCCATCCACTGGTTCACTCCCTAAAAGGCCAAAACGGCTGGAACTAGGCCAGGCCGAAGCCAGATCAGGAGCTTCTCTTGGGTCCCCCACATGACTACAGGGACCCAAGCACCTGGGCCATCCTCTGCTGCTTTCCCAGGCCATTAGCAGAGAGCCAGATTGGAAAGGGAGAAACTGGGATGCGAACAGCTGCCCATGATGGGTACCAGCACCGCAGGCAGAGGCTTAGCCTACTATGCCGCACTGCAAGCACGTTTTACTCTTTTAAAAACTCAAAGAGATAATAGGAACCACCTCACATACATTAGGATGGCTACTATTCCAAAACAGAAAACAAGTGCTAGAAAGGATGCAGAAAAATTAGAATCCTTTGCACTCTCGTGGGACTGTAAAATGGCACACTGGCTATGGAAAATGGTATAGCAGTTCATTAAAAAATTAAAAACAGAGGGCAGGCATCTGGAACAGCGCTAGCTTGGGACATTCACATCTCATATCAGAGGGCCTGGATTCAAAGTCCCAGCTCCACTCCTGATTTTAATTTCCAGCTAATGAGTACCCTAGGAAGGCGCGGGTGATGTCTCAAGCAGTTGAGTTTTTTAGAGATCTGGACTGAATTCCGAGCTCCTGCCTTTGGCCTGACCCAGGCCTGGCCATTGCAGACATTTCGAATGAGCCAGCAGATGGGAGCCTGCTTAGTCTCTGCCTCTCATGTTTTAAAAATATTAAAATGGAATTACCACAAAATCTAGCAATTCTATTTCTGGGAATATACCCAAAAGATTTTTTAAAAGGTCTCATAGAGAAATGTATACACCTATATTTGTAGCATATTATTCATAACAACTAAAACAAGCAACTCAAGTGTCCTCAACAGATAAATGAGTAAGTACACATAAAAGTACAGTGGAGTATTACTCGGAGTTTAAAAAGGAAATTCTAACATCTACAACACAGATGAACTTTGAGGACATTATGCTTAATGAAATAAGCCAGGAACAAAGAGATAAATACTGTATGATTATCACTTACATGAGGTACTTCGAGTAGTTAAAATTTAAAGAAAGTGGATGATGGTTGTCAAGGCTGTAGGGAGGAGCAGAATGAGGAGTTATTGTTTAATGGATAAAGAGTTTCAGTTTTACAAGATGAAAAAAATTCTGGAGATGGATGGTGGTGATGGGTATACATTATGAATGTAAACCGAGAACTAACCATATGCTTGGAAAATAGTTAAGATGCAGGGGGCAGGGGGGTAAAGGCGCTGTGGCATAGTGGGTAAAGCTGCTGCTAGCAATGCCGGCATCCCATATGGGTGCCAATTCTAGTCCCAGCTGCCCCTCTTCCAATCCACCTCTCTGCTATGGCCTGAAAAAGCATTAGAAGATGGCCCAAGTCCCTGGACCCCTGGACCCACGTGGGAGACCCAGAAGAAGCTTCTGGCTCCTGGCTCCAGATTGGTGCAGCTCAAGCCATTGTGGTCAATTTGGGAGTGAACCAGCGGATGGAAGGCCTCTCTCTTTCTCTCTGCCTCTCCTTCTCTCTCTGTGTAACTCTGACTTTCAAATAAATAAATAAATCTTAAAAAAAAAAAAAGATCGGGGCCAGCATTGTGGCACAGTGGGTTAAAGCCCTGGTCTGCAGCACTGGCATCCCATATGGGTGTCAGTTCGAGTCCTGGCTGCTCTACTTCCAGTCCAGCTCTCTGCTATGGCCTGGGAAAACAGTGAAGTGTGGCCCAAGTCCTTGGGCCCCTACACTCGTGTGGGAGACCCAGAGAAAGCTCCTAGCTTCGGAGTAGCATAGCTCTGGTTGTTGCAGCCATCTAGGGAGTGAACCAGCAGATGAAAGACCTCTCTCTCTGCCTCTGCCTCTCTGTAACTCTGCCTTTCAAATAAATAAATAAATCTTTTAAAAAAAAAATAGTTAAGATGGTAAATTTTATGTGTTTTTCCATGACTGAAAAGAGAAAGAAAACAGATGAAAATCATGACCTCAGGTTGGTCAAAGCATTGTTTTTATTTTTTTTTAACAAAGACATATAAAAATTGTGCATATTAAAGGGTACTATGTAATATTTCATTACATGTATATATTGTGTCAGGAATTATTTATTAGATATATCGAAAGCACAACATACACAAAAATTTTACTTCACCAAAATTAAAATACTGTGCACCTCAAAAACACCACAAAGCAAATGAAGACAAGTCACATTTTGGGTGATAATGATGTAGCAATGTCACCAACTAAAATAAATATACTACTTTGACTCAGTTACGCAAGGCAGGTTGCAGGAAGCATATGAAATCTCTGTGCATTTTCTGCTCAATTTTGCTACAAACCTAAAACTGCTCTAAAAAATAAAATACATTTTAAAAAGATAGACTAGAAGATATCTGCAAGTAACATGTGATGAAGGATTTGTGGGACTGTATTTAGAATACAAAAAGTGGGGCTGGAGCTGTGGCGCAGGTTAAAGCCCTGGCCTGAAGTGCCAGCATCCCATATGGGCGCCGGTTCTACTCCTAGCTGCTCCTCTTCTGATCTAGTAGAGTATGGCCCAAGTCCTTGGGCCCCTGCACCCACATGGGAGACCGCAAGGGGGCTCCTGTCTCCAGATCGGCACAGCTCCAGCCATTGCAGCCATTTGGGGAGTGAACCAGTGGATGGAAGACCTCTCTCTGTCTCTGCGTCTCTCTGTAACTCTGTCATTCAAATAAATAAAATGAATCTTAAAAAAAAAAAAAAATACACAAAGAATGCCTACAACTCAACAAGATCATCTAATTTGTAAAGCAGATCCAGAAAATGGGCAAAAGGTTTGAACAGATATTTCACTAAAGAAGTCACAGGAGTAGTTAAACACAGAAAAGGATGCTCAACACTTTTAGTCTGTAGGAAATACAAACTAAACTACAATGAGATACCATCATACCTATCAGAAGAGCTACAACAGATCCTCCTGGAATTCTGATTTAGCTACTTGTAGATAAACCCAATGTAAATGAAAAATATCCTAAGTCAAAAATGCACTCACCTAACCCACCAAACATCATAGCTTAGCCTAGCCTACCTTAAACACACTCAGAACAGATGTATCAGCGCACAGTTCGGTAAATCATCTAACACAAAGCCTATTTTCTAAAGTACTGAATATCTTGTGTGATTTATTGAATACTTAAGTGAAAGTGAAAAACAGAATGGTTGAATGTGTACTCACCATGAACGTACACAGCTGAAAGTACACTGGGCCTGAAGAACGTTTAACACACTGAATTAAAATTAATTGCTGGATGATGTGGACGCTACAGCAACAGGGTCATCAATTTCTCTCTTTTCCGATGAGGTTAGAGTATAGCTTGTAGAAGACACTGGAGCTTGGACAACTGTTGATGGTTTAGCAGACACAATGTTTTTCAAGATATCATGGTTTGATTGTATACTTTGTCTCTTCTTTTCATTATATATTTCTCTATAGCAAGCAAGAGCATCCTGTATCTGCCTGTCTGCTCTTGCAAATCTCTCGTAACTGACGTCCATTTCTTCTAACATCCGTAAGCCACTGTTGATAGTAGCAAATGCCTCGGCCAGTTTCTTCGTTGTGAACTCTTTTGGCGCCTCAGGTATCACTCCTTTCTCTGCTTCAGCTTCTTCACTTCTTTCTTCCTCCAGTTCAATCAGCTCCTCATCAGAAATCTCTTCAGTCTCAATGCCAACAAGTTCATGTATATCCTCTTCATCAATGTCCAATTCTAGCTGTTTCCCAAGCACTAATATCTTATTACTCACTATGTCATCAACAGCAGGATCTTTGTTAAAGCCTTTGAATGTGTTCACATATGTCTTCAACACTTTCTTCCAAACGCCATTCATGCACTGCTGCGTGACTTCTTCCCATGCTGCAGCAATGTTCTGAACAGCATTTAGAATGTTAAAACCTTTCCAAAATTCTCGGAGTGTTTGTCCAGATTCAGTTGCTTCAACAGCCTGCATAAAAGTCCGGCGTAAATAATATGCTTTGAATGCAGCGATTGCTCCTTGATCCATTGGTTGAATGAGTGTGGTTGTGTTCAGTGGCAAATACACCATTTTTACAGCAGGATGCATGTCGCCAATGTGTTGTGGATGTCCTGGAACATTGTCTAAAATCAGAAGAATCTTGAATGGGATGTTGTTTTGCCTAAAATATTCTCTTGTCTGTGGAATGAAACAGTTCAAAAACCAGTCTTCAAACAATGCTGATGTCATCCACGCCTTCTTGTTATGTCGATAATAAACAGGAAGCATGTGCTTGCTCACATTCTTGAATGCTCTGGGATTCTCTGAGTGGTAGATTAGAAAAGGCTTTAATTTAAATCCTGCAACATTTCCACCCAAAAGCAGAGTTACACGGTCTCTGAATCCTGGTATTGTCTTGGACTCTTGATGAATGTATGTGCACTCCAGCATACGTTTCCAGAACAGGCTTGTCTCATCAACATTAAATATCTGTTCTGGTAAATATTTTTCAGCCATAATTATCCTATGCAGTTCCTCCTTAAAAGCCTCAGCACATTCAATATCAGCATTTGCTGCTTCATCACTGACCTTCACTGTATGAAAATTATGACGCTTTTTAAAGCGTTGGAACCACCCGTGACTTGCTGTAAACATCTGTGTGTAGGTAGGGTCATCAGCACGCTCTTTCAGCATATTGAAAAGACTTCTTGCCTTAGCCTGGATTGTCAGCAGGCTAAGTGGTATGCGCTTCTGTGTCTGCTCTTCCATCCATGCAACAAGTAATTTTTCCATATCATCAATTGGCCCAGCTCTTTTCTTCGTGATGACAGTGGACTTAATTGATGCTGATGACTTCACTGCATCACTGATTCGCTTCTTATCCTTTAAAATGGTTGAGACCGTGGATTGCGAAAGTCCTGACTCACGTGCAATGACCATCACTGGCTTGCCACCTTCATGCTGGGCAATTATCTTGAGTTTCATCTCAAGAGTAATTGCCTTCCTCTTCTTCTTTCCGCCAGAAGCAGAAGATAAAGACAGGCGTTTTGAAGACATGATGGGATGCACAAACACAGAACACGATATCCAAAGATGCTGGCAACACAATACACTGTAGAGTGTCAGTTGCTTACCCTCGTGATTGTGTGGCTGACAAGGAGCTTTGGCTCACTGCCACTGCCCAGCATCGACACAGTATTGTACCACACATCACTAGCCCCAGGGAAAGATCCCAATTCGATGCAGGGTTTCTACTGAATGCATATCACTTTCGCACCATTGTAAAGTTGAGAAATCTTATGATGAACCATTGTAAGTCGGGGACGGTCTGTAATCAAAAAGTCAGACAATATCAAGCATTGGTTAGGATGTGAAGAAACTGGATTTCATGCAATGCTACTGGGAATGTATAATAGTAAAGACAAAACAGAGAACAATTTAGCAATTGCTTAAAGTGAAAATAAAGAAAATAGGAAGTGAAATAAAAACTTTCTACGAGACTTTTTGCATTCTTGGGAATCTATCCAAGAAAAACAAAAACATTAATCCACACAAAGGCATGTATGTAAATGTTCATAGCACTACTATTCACAACAGCCAATACTGGAAACAATCCAAACATCCATTAACTGGGTAAATGAATACACAAAATATGGTATAGCTACCTAAAGGAATACTATTTAGCAATTAAAGGGAATGAATTACTGATGCATGCTATAACACTAATAAATATTAAAAGCCCAAAGCTAAACCAAAGAAGCCAAATGCAAAATGCTATATATGATTTTATTCAATTTATATGTAATGTCTAGAAAAGGCAGAAAAAAAAACAGAAAGCAGATCTTTGGTTGCCTAGAACTGAAGACAAGAAGGGAGATTAATCTGTGACTGGAAACCAAAGAATTTTTTCAGATGACAAAAATGTTCTATAACTGAACTGAACTGTATAACTGCACAATTATACAAATACATTAGCATCACTGAATTCACTTACAATGGTGCATTTTATGGTATGTAAACTACCTCAAATAAAGCTGTGTGAAAGTTCCAAGAAACTCAAAATTGTCCATCTCATTCCAGTAAATAAAAATTTTAATAAATCTGAATAAATAATTACAGAGATCAAAGCATAGCAGCTATTTTAGACTGCAACTTTAACCAGATCACTGTTACATTAAGTAACTACTAAAACTACACCAAAGCTGAAGATTACAAATCAGGCTGTATTTATTTGAATTGGAAAAAGGAAATGCAGCCAAGTTCAAGTTTCATTTGCCTGTCACCAACTACAAGGTTTTTTTCAATGACACAACTTTTTAGCCTCCAAAAAATGAAATTTCATATATTTCAGCCACTTGTCATCTAACATTATGCATCTACCAATATTATACACCTATATTTATGTATACAAGCCATCTGTTTCTGAAAGATGTACACCAATTTAGCCACCTAGAAAATGTCTTTGACATTTTATTTTGTAAATGTATTTGACAAAATATTTTAACATGTTTTTTATCAACCAGCCCTAAATTTGTGTATTTGTAGTTCAGAAGCAAGCTCGTGTTATATAGAAATGACCTCTTTAATTGGCAAAATAAATACACATGATCCCTGAGTAGGGTGGTCCTATTCACAGTACTTCAGTTCACAGTGGTGCAAAAGCGATATACATTCAGTCGTAACTGTACTTCAAATTCTGACCTTCTCTTGGCCTAGCACTATGAAGTAAAGAGTCTCTTGACGCTGGGCAGCAAATACGAGTGGCAGGTCCTCCTCAGCCACTGAACCGTGAGAGGAAACAACTGTGTGCTGTGTGCCGCAGTGGCCTGCACTGCCAGTGTTTTCTGGATATATTTACATATAAATAAATATATTTTTGCATATCATCATATCTACAAAGTGCCCACCTCTGTGTGTTCATGAGATATTCAATTATTTATTATAAAATAGGCTTTGTTAGATGATTTTGCTGAACTGTAGGTTAACATAACTGTTCTGAGCATGTTTAAGGTAGACTAGACTGATTTACGATGTTTGGTAGGTCAAGTTTATTAAATGTATTTTTGATTTATGATATTTTCAACTTATGATGGGTTTATCTAGACATACACTCATAAAAAATCAAGGAACATTTAACTTGAGAAGATGTTTGGCTGATAGAGAATATATGCATGCACATTATAAATAAATACATACAATGATTTCTACTTTCGTACTCCACAACAAAAATTTACTTAAATATGTATTCTACTTTAGAAGAATAAGTCTTCCCTTCTACTTTATTCTAAATTGACAAACAATAATTGCACACATTTATGGAGTTCTTTTAATTTCTCACCCTAAACAACTAGTTCACAGAATAAACTGGTTTAGTTTCTCCTTCCTATTTTTCTTGGTAAAAAACTATTACTTAACCTAAACTCTGAACAGATTCCCTTCTTTAGTAATCATTCCTTTCTTTCCTCCACTCTGTTTTTAACTAGATATTCTCTTCCTTCCATTTCCCTCCATTAGGCCTTCACCTATGCTCTCTTCCAGCTACCCTATGTCATTTAGTTTTGCCTAAATATTGGTGCATACACAGATGTACTGCTGTCCTCTTGGGTGCAACATACAAAGTATGGAGACAGTGCTGTGGCATACTATGCTAAGCCAGTGCCAGTGTCCCATATGGGTGCCAGTTTGTGTCCCAGCTGCTCCTCTTCTGATCCAGCTCTCTGCTTATGGTCTGGGAAAGCAGTGGAAGATGGCCGAAGTCCTTGGGCCCTTGCACCCGTGTGGGAGAACTGGAAGAAGCTCCTGGCACCTGGCTTCATATCAGCTCAGCTCTACTCACTGTGGCCATTTGGGGAGTAAACCAGTGGATGGAAGACCTTTATGTCTCTCCCTCTCTCTGAATTTTACCTCTCAAATAAATAAATAAAATCTTAAAATATATATAAAACATGATTTTAAAACAATGGCATTTAAATCCTTGCTGATTTCTTCCAGTAGTTATCTTCCTATTCCAGTATTCCAGTGATATTATAATTATAATTATATATTCCAATATTCCAGTAATATTATACTATTTTTTACAAATCAAGGAAAAGCTAAATATATACTCACCATTCTTGTTTTTAAAATTTTTTCAAAGTCATATAAAGGTATCAACATTATTAGTTTTTAAAATTATTAAACAACGCAAACTGGGCACAAGTCTTATAACTCAACAACCCTATGAAGTGCGTATACTTTTCTGTTTTGTGAGTATATTTTTAAATTCACTTGAACCATTAAAACTTCCCTTTTGAAGGTCAAAATATGCATTTCCACATTTTCATACAGAAAGCAAGCACCAGGTCACGCAAAAGGCGACAGAGTTACTATTCAACATAATCTCTCACCACAACAGACCTTCCCCATGTTTAAAATAGGAAGACCTGCCTTTGCATCAGTTTGTGAATGAAATAAATTCAGAGAAGAAACTATTTCTCAAGGAACCTCTGGTTGGCCACAGTTATAACAGGCACTAATTCTAGACCCAAGTCCCCAAGAAGTCCAGGTGGTATTATACTGTATTATTAGAAATAACAGGTTCTGACTATACCAATATAAAGAACAATATTGTACTCTACACTGGTAAACACATTAAGAATACTAAAAATTTGAATATTCCTGGAGGGAGTATTTAGGGATAGAAACAGGTCTGATACTACTAAATTTACACAAAAAACCATTGGTGAAACTGAAAATATTACTAAGTTAGAGAAGCACACAACAGAGGAGATACAACAAAGAAACACACTGGTTAAGACAAACAATGTATTTGAAAAGAAAAGATGTCGCTTGGAAGGGAAAAAGTTGTGGACTTGGCTATTCCCAGGTTCCATTACTTTGGTTACTAATCTGAAACCTAAGAATATTCTTCCAAATGGAATTAGCTCTTGACCTCTATCTCACGGGTTTATAATAAAATATGTGAAAGTACCTACAACAGTAAACAATGAGGGTGACATTATGTAAAGGAGTATTTGTATGGCTGAAATTCTCTGTTGCACAAAGGGAAAGACTGAATTGAATTTACTGTACTGTGTCTGAGAACAGAACTGAAACCAAAGGGTGGAAGTCGCAAGGACAGACGTCATCTTCACGGAGCCGTCCGACACGAAACCAGCCGCTGAGTGAAGCTCTAAGTTATCTGCTGCCACCTGCCCAGAGACTGGCTGCATCAATTAAAGGTGACATATATTCTTGCAATACACTCTTAAGTATCTTTTCAATTTTATGTTCACAATTAAATTATTTTAAGCTATTCTCCCAAAACGAAATGCAGACCCAAAGGATAAACACTTGCTACTACTAACACAGAAAACAATTTCAAAATGCAGTACCAATGATATTGTGAACATCAGCAGCACTGCTGAAGCAATTTGTTTGCTAGGGAGTGGAGACCAAAAACTCCATTCAAATCATCATTAAACACAAAACTTCAGTCCCACCAGTAGTCATCTTTAAAAGGCTATTCCTACAACACTATTACAAACTCAAAATATTTTTTACAAGCTGAAGAAAATCCTGTAAATACAAAATTTCAGTCCCAACTCCACACTGGCATTTAGAAAGCATCAGAAAGGTAAACTGGTTGGAGTTATACCTCCCTCCCCACGCCGGCCCCATCCACTTCCTCAAGTATGCATACAATGATACCAGAACAGGTTACTGACACGCTTAGCAACATTTTCGGCTATGAAAACACGAGGTTTTGTTATCTGGCTAACATGCCTCTAACAAAGCAATTTTAACTTTTCTGTGAGGGTAGGCTGGGAAGGCAGAAGCAGCAGGGTACTCTCACTGAAGATGTAAAAGTTATAGTATTATTTTATTCTTACCTTCACCGTGATCTACTACCTCCACAGAGTTAAATTTTTCCTGAGGTATTATGACAACAAATTTCCACCAGCAGGTGGCACAGTTTTAGAAAATAAATGTATCAGGAGCAAATAGCTTACTAACTCTAGCAAAAGGAACAAGCATTCTAAAAATGCAGTTCAACAGATTTATACTCACAGAGGGAAACTCTATTTTAATGTCACTTAGCTTATCTTTATTTTTAAAATTTGAAAGACAGAAACACATATAAAGAGATCTTCCATCCACTGGTTCACTTCCCAAATGCCCCAAATGTCCTCAAACAGGAAGGGTTGGGCCAGGCTGGTCAGGAGCCTAGAACTCCATCTTGATCTCTGTGGGACAAAGGAATCCAACTACTACACCATCACCTTTCACCTCCCAGGGTGCACGCAGCAGGAAGCAGGAATGGAGAGCAGAGGGCAGACTGGAATCCAG